GGGGTGGTAGCTCCAATTTATTTATCATCTCATGCATCTTGTGCATTTCAACTTCGTCCCATATTGATCACGATGGCCTTGCATTTACACCGTAGGTAGTCTACCGTGTTCTGAGGATTCGAAAAATTGTTTTTGTTAATAAAGAGTCCACGAGAAACCCGGGCATTGTTACAAAATGAAAATAATGAGGATATCAATTTTAAAATCTTCACAACTCATAAATTTACTTCCTTTTGACTGTTGATCAACCTTTATTTGAATTGAATAGGGAACAGAAGAAAACTATTGAAAGGTACAAATGTCCAACAAGTTATGAGTCTACCGGCTTTCAAAATTGATTTTCTAACGAGGTCTATTTTATAACCTTGCCCATTTGTTTCCTCAGTAGAGTTAACAAATGTGTTCATCAACTATAGACACATCTTAGATAATGTGGGCTGATGGCTTCTTCTAGCCTTCTGGTAGGGCAAACCCGAGCTTATTGAGATAATTTTATAATGTCCTCCCAGCAGACAGATGTAGATATTTGACGAAATAAAACTTCACCACTCGGGAACCAACCTCATGTCTACTGATTGCAAAAGCGGATAGTTTAGCCATAACGGCCATGACACCGTTGAGGACTCACAGATACATTAACTCTACAGAGACGTAGCGGACACATTTGTCCGACCAGCAGCAGATCAAACTCAATGTTACGGGACATTTCCAACCACCATAACCAAATCTAAAACGCAGATTTTCTTAGCTCATAATACGTGTGTTATTGTTGATCTTTTAAAGTTTCAAATAATAGAAATATGTAAATAATTTGAATGAATGACGGAGAAATGTTCCTTTCTGAAAATGTCCTAAAAGATCTCGTCCGCAAGCATTGTCAAAGATACGCCCCCAAAGAGTTAACTCACCACAGCCTGAGCTATTTTTAGCACAACACAGACGTCGAATCCAATGATTGGTCGAATCCCCATGAACAACGATGGACCAAATGTATGACTAATAAAACGACAGAGTAACTAATCAATTTCCACGATTATGGGCCTTGTGTATATTTCTACGTGACTTCACCCGAAGCTACCCAGTTGACCGTGGTCATATTCTTATCAGTTATTGACACGCAGTCCTACAGCAAATGACCGTGACGGGACATAATGACGTCCTCAGTCAAAGAGGTCGATTTATTAGCCCGGGTCCCTTTGACTGATGGGCTGTAAACGAAAATAAAATTCATACTACATTTTGATATAACGTGAGAAAGCTGTTCAGTTGCATTAAGCCCAACATTTAGGGGAAATTATGTATATTACAATTTCTTAATCGATTTCATGTGCTTGAAAAATATTCTTATATAGAAGTTTGAATTCTAATTGTGGAAAGAAATTGCAAGAAAGATACCTAATTTTTCTACGAATTTTAAAAGAATGAAAGTTTTGTCCCCCTCTCAACTTAAAACATATTTTTTTGCTTTCTAGGTTTAGGACAGCAGAACTTCCTGTCAAAGATACACTTCAGTATAAGTGGATAATGTTGACCATAAAAAGTCGGGATAGATAGATAGATAGACAGACAGACAGACAGACAGACAGACAGACAGACAGACAGACAGACAGACAGA